TTCTCATTAATTTAGGCAATGCATGTTTAGAGGGGCAATTGTTTAAAAAAAAATTCTTTTTGAAGTATTACCTTTTTTGACATGTCACTTATTATGCAATATGGAATAAGATTAAACATGCAAATACTTATGCGGCTGTATTTGTTAATATGTCCAACTATATTTCAATAGTATTAAAATAAAAATTAAACAAAAAAATGTTATTAAAATGTGATAAATTTAAAAATAATAAATTAGCTTAAAAATTGTTGAAGTGTATTTTATGATCATTTCCTTGATGGCAAAACTAAGACGAGGAAATTGACAATCATATCTTGTTGATTAGAACAATGTAATGTTTTTGATAAAATTTACAATTTGAAAATGAAAACTCAATGATCTATAGAAATGTTATTCTTGATGAAAAAAATCACATCATTGGTTTAGGAAGAATATAAATAAGAAAGTCAAATTCATTAGAATTATTAGTTACACCAAAAACTAAACAAGATCAAAGCATCTCCTAACAAAAACAAAAACAAAAAACTCCAAGCAGTACACAAATATTACAAATGTACTTTTCACAACCATAATTTTCATTTTGCTATCCAATTCCAATATTCAATGAATAGTGAATACAATTCAACCATATCTACGAAAAGAATAATAGTATGAAATGAATGTATTTTTTTGTACTTATTAGCAATACATCAAGCTCATTAACTTAACACACTTACAGTAAGTTTAATTTGTGAAATAAATGTAACAATAACTTTTTATTTTTACTAAACAAGTGTATCAAGCATATAAAACTTCAATTATTAATACCTCATATTTAGTAAAGTGATGAATACACCATAAGAAAGTGTTATGCATAATCATCATAAAAATAAAAAGGATTAAATACCTTTTTTTTGAATGTATCTGTCTGGGTGCTGATGACGTGATACTGCCAGAAATTAATTCATTGTATTAGCTAATCAAATCACCAAGCGTGCATGAACTGTGCACATAGAAGATAGACAATATACATAACTAATAAATCGTAATTGCAAAATTTATATATTTCCGTCATTTTATAGCACTTCTTTTCAATTTCTCGAAAAGTTTTATAATTGTATACATAAAAATGGGTTAAATACTTACACAACACTGAAATACATTTTATCAGAGCTAAAAACTAAAAGATAAGTATATTAGAGTTATTACTTGTGTTCAAACATAAGGAGGATTGACCAAATATTTTCCTATTTCAGTTGGATTACAGTAGGAATCGGTTTTAAGCCCATATCTTTTTTCTTTGGTTATGAATGGTCTTTGGTTATGAATGCTCTTACTAGACATTTAGAGGAGGATATAACCTAGTGTATGCTTTGTAGGAATCGGTTTTAAGCCCATATCTTTTTTCTTTGGTTATGAATGCTCTTACTGGACATTTAGAGGAGGATATAACCTAGTGTATGCTTTTCCCTGTTGATATCCTTCTCGTGGATAAGACTAGGGAGAAAGCTCAAGAAAAACTTGAATTATGGTTGTCTACATTTGAGTCAAATAGCCTTTGTTTGAGTATAACTAAAACTGAACATATGGAATGTGATTTTAGTAGTAGCTCTAGTGAGAAAGTTGTAACTACGGGTGATCAAATTATTAAAATGTGTGAATGCTTAAGATATATCGGGTCTATTGTTCAAAGTGTTGGTGATATAGATGGGGATGCTATTAGTAGAATTCAAGTTGGTTGGTTGATATGGAGGAATGCTTCGAGCCTATTGTGCTATAGAAAAGTACCGCTTAGACTGAAAGAAAAAATTTATAAGATGGTTGTGAGACCTGCGATGCTCTATGACGTTGAATCTTAGCCTTTAAAAGAGAAGCATAAGACTAAGTAAAGTATTGTCAAGATGAGAATGCTTAGGTGGATAAGTGTGCTTTACTCTTAGAGACAAAATGTAAAATGAATATATCTATGATATAATTGGTGTGGCTCCAGCAGCCGACAAAATTAGAGAAAATCGTTTTAGATTGTTTGGTCACTTTAAACGTTAACCATATGATGATCCGATTAAGAGAGTAGATGTTTTAGATTCGACTTACGTTAAGAAAGGCAGAGGTGGACTTAGAAAGACTTGGACATATTGTATAGAAAAATAATTTTAATTTATTAAAATTAAATAAAATCATGACACTCAATAGGACGCAATGAAGAAAAAAGATTCATGTAGCTAACCCTACTTAGTAGGATCAAGGTTTGTTGTTGTTGTTGTTGTTGTTGTAGAGTTAAAAAACTAAAAGAAAAGCACATTTACTTCATTAAACTTCATGAAACTTATTATAAGTTAGTAATTCAACTATTTCCCTTCCTTGCCAAAAAGCCAATTAAAAAAAAAAATTCAAGCAGGAAATTATCATTGAGGGAAATAGTTAAGAGAAATGTGCTGTAGACATTGCCATGGATACTACCTTTCGATTCCTTACAAGCTTTAGGGCCTCGTCCATATTTTGCTCAAGACCACGCAGTTCTTTGATTTCTAGCCCTTCAAGATCCTCGCCCATCCTCTGCCTTCTCATTACCCACATTCATAAAACGTCAAATAGTTCTACAAAAATGAATCCAAAAAAAACCGAGCAAGACAAAACAAAACCAAAAGCACTAAACCCCAAAAATTAGACATTAACCATTCAAAAAAGCTAACAAAAACCTCTTGCACCCACCTTATCTCCCTCCTCAAGTTGTGGTTTATCTCCTTCAAATGATTCAACGTATTCTGCATCTTCTGATCACACCAATAATAATGCAGAAAACTCCATTAGCTTCAAACAACAACAAAGTAGACCACTTAAGACATCCACGAGATTGATGACACGGACAAAAATTCCATCATGAATTATTGAAGGTGAGAAGTTCAAATATTGTAATTTTTGTTAAAAATTTACACATTTTTAGAGACAAATTGTCATCAAACATAAAAGTCTTTCTTATGAATATAACTGAGAGTGGAAAATCATTCAAAGCATGATAACTTCTAATCAAGGATACAACAAAGTAAGAAAGAAAAAAAGAATTATTATATATATATATATATATATATATATATATGTTTTCTTAGGAATTCCTCATTGGCTAGTTTTGTCGAAGAGAAGTCTATCTCTATCACTCGCCTCGTACTGCTCGCTCCATAAATTTATGCCGGACACCTGCTGGTAACGATCATATACACTCTTGGTACTGGAAGCAAAACATGAACGTAAGCAACATAAGACACTAAAACAAATGAAATTGCACAAAAACAGAGACAAAGGCAAACTCACTCGGTGGTAGGACTACAATACTCGGAGAACTTGCCGGTGCTGGAGAACATAACAAGGGAGAGCTGAGCATCACAGAGAACCGTGAGCTCGCTCGCCTTTTTCATGATCCCAGCCCTCCTCTTAGAGTAAGTAACCTGCCTGTTTGTAGGGTTCTCAATCTTCTTTATCTCGATCTTCCCCCTCCCCATGGTTCTCTTTCTTGCTCTGCTTCCCAAAGCAGCAGGAGAAGCGAAGGAGTTGAGATTGATATGGGAAAGAAAAGGGGTAAAGTATGCTTATAAAAATGGAGGCAGAAGAGAGTAACTGAAGGTATATAAGGCTGGGGAAGGAAAAAGTGGCAGCTGGGTTTCCATTAGCAGGCAATGGCCAAAGGGTTGTGGCGTACTGCCTCGCGTGCCATGTCTGACTCTGTTTAAGAATACGGCCATCTTTCGCCCTGAATTTTTCCTTGGTAATTATTACAAACTACCGTTCAATTTTCCTTAATATTTATTACAAATTCAGAACATTATCTGAATTTTAAATCATAATTTATTAAATTTAAAATAATTAATTTAAGTTTCATTGTTCCAAGTATTCATTCAATCAAAATATTTGGATTTTTTTTTAATTTAAATTTTTTTTAAAAAAAGGTGATGAATAAGTAGTTGAAGGTGTGTTCTTTTCTTATTGCTGGTCCCTCCCTGATACAACCTTTTGAAAAAAAATTTTGGAATTAAGCTTTATTTTTTCCAACTGCTTTGTTTTTTTTGGAATTAAGCTTTATTTTTTCCAACTGCTTTGATCTTCTCCATCAAAAGTTTATGGTTACATATTTATACTAAGACAAGTAAAATTTTATATTCTGTGAGCTTCTTATAAAAGCATTGTGCACATTATGTGGTGAAAGGAAAAAAGGAACAGTTTTTATATTTATTTTTTCAGGAGAATAGTTGCATGGACGCAAGCTTTCTTTCTCTCCCCTGGTAGGATTGGGTGAGGGTAGGCCGGTGAGTCTGTGATTGTCTCGGGCTGCGCGCTGTGATAGGGACAGATCATTCAGAGAGGGAAAGATGGGGACTGTGGCTTGGGATCTCATTCATGAATGTAACTTCTAAAAGATCCAGCCTTTAGTCACTTTCAGCCAACAAGGCCGAGTTTTGTATTATTTGTAAATGTCAAATATCTTTTTTCTGTTCCCCTTAGAAATAGATTAATAAACACATTAAAATCTTCCAATATGCATACTTGGCCTAATATTAGGTGTGCTATGATAATAATTCCTTAAACCTTCTCTAAAAACAATATTAACATGTTCATGAATTCCAATTTGGACAAGCAAATGATGATTAGTGTAATCTTAAGAAAGTGAATTTTCTTGCAAAAATTAATTCCTTTTTTCAGATAAATGCAAGAAGATTCGATTCCTAGTTCTTTTAACGTAGTATCTTGCTATTGTAGTTTGTAGACATTGTTACCTACCAATTTTCAACCATGTTAGTAAAGCTCTTTATGATGTTTAATGTTTCCTTTTTTTTGGGTTTTTCTAGTTAGATTATCTTGCTGTTGTGTTGGATTAATTTGTGTTTTGGTTCTGAGTTTTCCCGACTTGATAAGTTCAAATACTTCTTGGTTGCTGGCTTTCCAAGTTCAAATACTCTTTGGATTGATTTGTATTCCAACCTTACAATGTAGTTCAAGCAAGCAATTTTGTAAATACTTAGATCAATTTCATCTGCATACTTATTGGTTTTGGAAGGAATCTTAATGTTTCATTTCTCTTGTTTCCTTTCACCTAACTTCTCTTCTAGTTTTGATTGGTTTAGGCTTCGCCCAGTCTCTTGGCTGCTGCATTTTCTTAGAAGCCACTCTTTACTATTTCTGGCATCTTCTTACTTCTCATAATTTGTGGTTAATAAAATATGCTTTTGTGGTGATGCTGCATTGACGAAGAATTTGTTTTTTCACTTTCTCTGATTTGGGGAGTATGTTTTATGGTTAGCTGTGTAGATGCATTGATGAAGAATTTTGAGAAGACAATCAGTTTTCTAGTTTGCTTGTTGTTCTACTGTTGAAGTTGCAGTTTGAGACAATTTTTCTTTTTGTATGTCAATTTTTCTTCTAATTTTTTTTTGTTACTTACCTACTGATTGAGGTCTGTCTACATTTTCCTATTTTTTTGCACAAATTTCTTGCCATTTAGACTGTTTTTTGATTATGGGGGATCAAAGGATGATATAAAAGGTCAATAAGATAGATAAATACTTAAATTTAATAATACCGGTGACGTAGTATTGTAAGACTCAAGTAAGCATAAAGTTATTTATTTATTTTCTATGCATTATAACATTCTTTGGTAATTGTTGTGAAACACTGATCGGCTTGGCTGATATATACATATAGATAGATATAGATATGAAAAAATCCATCAAAGTCTTTGTGATGATATCATCACAATTAATTTTGAATTTTCCCTTTGGTCGTTTTGATGTGTTATTTAGAGACATAGTCATGAGTGAATTATGTATTAAAAATTTTATAAACTTTCTTTCAAATTTTTTATTATTTGTTCATATTTATCTTTTTCAGGTGTTTTTGTGCAATTGTTGGTTACAAGTATTTATGAGAGCTTTAAAGACACAACAACAAATATTAGAGCGAAGTAGGAGGAAATTGGGTCAGACATGGGCCAACAGAGCACCCAATCCAATAAGACCAATTTACCTTGAGTGGCGCCTAGGTGCCACCTTATGGATGCTTAGGAGTCTTCTGCTAGATGCCTAGGTGCCAAATGTGTGTCTAGTAATAGCGGCTAGAGCCAAGGCACCAAGTATGGGAGCCTGGGCGCCCCCTTTAGGGGTGTAAACGAGCCAAACATGAGTGATCCATGCTCAGCTCGTGTTCGGCTCGTTTATATTTCGAGCTCAAAAAGTGTGTTCGTGTTTGGCTCGTTTGTTTAACGAGCCGAACATGAGCTGTTCACGAACAAAGAGTCCTTTTAACAACCCTAATCATGTAGTCATAAGACAATAAGAGTTTGAGCAAGATGTTAAAATTATTATTTATATTAAAACATCATTTGAATCTAATTTAATAATTTTTATTCTATTTTCTCAATATATATATAAACTTGATGAGTAGTATTTCGAGCCAAAACGAGCCGAACACGAACGAACACATCTTAGTTCGTGTTCGGCTCGCTAACTTATCGAACGAAATTAATGAGCCGAACACGAGCTTATTGACGAGTCGAACACGAGCTGTTCACGAACAATGAGCGGTTTTGACAGCCCTAGCCCCCTTCAGAACCACTATGGAGCATCTACGCCACCTACTCCAACACCATGGCTTCGCTTCCATTGGTGCTACAACGCCACCTATTCAATCCAACATGCTTCCTTATAGAACATGTGACACTCTATCACTCCAACTAGAAATCTCACTTACTCCAACACCTTGACGCTGCTTCCTTTGGTGCTACAATGCAACCTATTCAATTCAACATGCTTCTTTATAGAACGGGCGACACTTTGTCACTCCAAGCAGAAATCTCAGCACCTAAGAAGCAACATAGTGGTGTTAAGGTGGTTTCTTCCAATGTGGATTCTCTCTAGCCTACTAAAACTATATGAATTTAGTTTATTACCGACAGTCAAATATAGTTGGTAATAACGGATAAACCGTAGGTAATATATTTCCCAATGATTTAGACATGAATAAGCCGACATAGCAAAACCATTTGTCAGTAATTAAATTACTCACGGATTTAACAACAACTTACATTAACTGACAGTTAACCAAAGTATCATAACTGTCGCTATAGATTCAAAAGCATGTCATGTTTAACAATAGCTTCATTGCGATTGTACAAACGAAAACAACTTCCGTATGCAAAGTGTTGTAGTTCCATCAGAAAAGTATAGTGGTTTTGTTGGTAAACTACCGCCAAATTGTCAGTTAACCGTGGAAATTTACCGATGGCATTGTCCGTAGCAAAAGTGTAGCACTTTGCCCATACGTCATTTGTTCAATAGACCATCGAAAAACCATTGCTTGTTTAATAAACCGTCGATAAGCCGTCGAAAACCTGTACCATCAGAAAAAAAACATTTTTTCAATGCTACAATCTATGCACCTACAATTGTAACAAATCAATCAAAATAAAGCACAACACTATAACAAAACTAATTAATGCTTAAATCATATTCATAAATAAAAGAAAAAAAATAATTGAATTAAAACAAACAAAATTTACAACTGAACAATAAAACTAATATTTGCTAACAATAAATTATTTAAATACACAAAATATCCCCCTTCTCATCCTCATCATCATCGTGTTCCTCTCCTCATCATCATCATCCCCGCCCTCATCCAACACTGGCTCCTTCCCTCTCTATAGTTCTGAACGCAGCACCGCTTTGATCTCCGCCCTCATCTTCGATCTTCGATAGGCTACTTAGGCAGCAACCTCAACAACAACCTGACAACGCATCGACTCCTCATGTGAAGTGGAAGTGGATGCACCGGATGAGCTAAAGGTTGGGCAGACATCATAGGACGGTGCGTTGGACCCCAACCCGTAGACCCTGCCCTTCTTTTTCCTACTAACAACTTCTTTCCAGAGGTCGTACTCAGAAGGATCATGAGATGTACTTGGACCACAGGTCGATTGTTGAGATTGGCTCTCCTTGAGCCTCAGGAAGGCCTCATACAAAACATATAATTAATGAAAGTGAGAGACTAAATAAATTTTGATATTTATTTCAATTTTATACTTATTAATCTTGTCAATTATCTGGGTCACATGCGGTCTGTTGTCCACCTAGGACTGATTTATCTGACTGTCGCTTATGGTTGTGCTCATGTAACTCTGCAGCAGTTGGCTCCAATCCTTTCTCCAGTGTCTGTCAGTGTAATGGAATAATTAGCATTCATTTAATATAAAATAAGATTTAATGCAAAAAAATAGGTCTTACCAATCTCCTCTTGTACTCCATATGTAGAGGGCTCCACCAACTTGCTTTGAGGCCCCTATGCCTCATTAGTTAGAGCAGTCAGATTTGCCTGCTCCCTCTTCCTCTGATACTTGGGAGAGTCTCAGGCTTTGAGTAGTCGACAAACATATTCTCTCTTAGCCACAAAGGACGCTCATGTGTCCAACATATATTACCAAACTGATCTAGAACTTGATTGCACTCCTTATGCTCAAAATTCCAATAGATGTGTGCTTCCGCCTCGGGAGGCCAGTACGATTACTTCTATAAAATGAATTAGAAATTGTTAGATTCATAAAAATAAATA